GGAAACATCAAGTCGACACTGAACTTTATTTAATGTGAAATACAGTCAGGAAACAGCTGTGAAAGCAGAGGCAGTGACACCTCTTCTTCATGAGTTATGTTATTTTATTGTAGCTCGTTCTGGGGCACTGGTCAACCAGAAAGTTCATTTCAGGGGAGTTTTCTTTTTTTTTTTTGGACAGGAAACCACTGAGGAAAATCACACCCAGGCCTTATAAACTGTGTCTCCAGCTCTGACGGACATCACGTAGATTTAAAACTTTCCAGGCAGGTCTCATGAAGCAGTCGGTGCTGTATCAGTGTTTGTGTACGTTTGATCGCTGACTCGTTTCCTCCGAGGAAAGGGCCGTGCTTTCCTGTAGGAAGTCCTGGCTGTGAATCTAGTTTCTAATTTTCACTGATGTCTGGGTGGTTTTATTAACTGTATTTCCACCCAGAGAACCGCCAGGCACGAACGGACGCAGAGACACACCTCGACGCTATCACGCTTCACCCCCCGGGACGCATGCAGAGGTGGAGCAGACGAGGGGGGGGGGGCAGCTGTGGAAACACATGAGCCGACCAGATAAAAGGAGATTCAACCTCGTGTTAAGAGATGTTTAATAAAAACCAGAGACTCTGAGGATTTAAATGAAAGAAGGAAAGACGGCGTCAGCTGCTTTTTAAATGAAATCATCAAAACGTGGATCTGTTCAAAGATCTGAAAACCAGAGACGTGTTAGAATACACGTGTTTCTATTACCTTCAAAAGAAGAAGTAAAGAGAAGTTAAAACCCAGACACTTCTCTCACTTCGAGGATGTGAGTGTCACATCGTCCTCAGAAAGTTTAAAAACACAAACGCCGCTTTTCAAGTCGGGAAAGTGTCGGGCGGAGGGAGTTTCCGAAGCTGTCCTGCTGCTCTGACGTAGTTTACTGACCCCCTTAAAGTCTGATGACGGTATCTGCTGCTTCAGTGTCGACTGCTTTATTTATTTATTTTATAAATCTGTCTCTCGTCCTGCAAATTCATGGAAGTGCATCTGGAAAACGAGAGAAAGAAAAACTTAACCGCAGCTGAAAACCCTGTTGATGCAGCAGCCGTCGCTCCAGATGTGACATGAAGCTCACCGTGTCATTTTACTACTTACTATTACTTTTTATTTTTTTAAACTTCTGTTTTCAGGCTTTTTATGACTTTATTATAGGAGCAGTAAGAAAAAGACAGGAAGTGTTTAAAAGACCTTGAATCCTCACCTACACACTTCCTCTTTTTGTGAATGTTTCAGAATAAAAGTCCTTCAGTGTAAAATAACCTGAGTGTTGTGTGTGCGCTCGGCTAACGATGTTTCTTGTGTTTCTTTCCACCAGGTGAGTCGCGACTCGGCGTACACCTGGGCTCAGCAGGGCCGTGTAACCGTGGAGACTCTATGGAAGGATCCGCCCTTTGGCAAAAAGCAGGTGAGTCTTCTGCGCTTCTGTGTTTTCTCCGTCGTCCGAAAGATTTAAAGGTTTATAATCGTGGTGCGTTTTGTTTTTTTCTGAAGGCTGAGAAGAAAGAGCAAACACAGAGCAACGACTCGAGCAGCTGAGACGCCAACAAGGACGCTCCCCTCTCCATCCTGAGAGACCTCCACCTTCCAGTAACACACACTCACACCTGTACGACTCCTTCCTCACAACCAAACTCCCACGGCTTCACACGAGCTTATTAAGACTTACAGCAGAGGTTTGGGAGAGAGAGTTGAACGTTTCCAGTCCTGTTCCACGGAGCAGGTTTACTCATTTCTCTGGACATCTCTTGACCCTGTTTCTTGGAACAGTCCTCCTCCTCCTCCTCCTCCTCCTCCTCTTCTTCTTCTTCTTCTGTAACCATTCCGTAGTTTGTCCTTTAGTGACCTCAGCTCTTCCAGTTAGTTGAGTTCAGTGTCAGGTTTTCTGAGTGAAGCACTTTATTGTTCTATTATGTGTTAAAACATAAACTTCACAGAAAAATGTGAAACTTTTAAAGATCAGAAAAAGTGGATGAATTCATTAGTTTCATTATTTATTTTTTACAGACCAAACAATCGGCAGATTAATCCACGATGAAAACGATTATTAGTTGGAGCCATAAAGTGATTTAAAAAAAATACAAATACAATTTATTTTTCCAGTTTCTGACACTGATACTGAGGCTGTTTATGTTCAGTCTGTTTTTATTGTCTCAGAAATTCAGAGAAACTAAGATGAAAGTATTTTTGTTCTGTTGCATCTGGTACTTTAGAGGGTTATGAAGCATTTACAGAGGTGTACGCCCTCACTAATATTCACCACATTATGTAACACAGATAAATGTGATAAGCTGGTATTGATCTTCCGGTGTCTTGGTTAGAATCTAGTTATTACGTGCGTGCTCGAAATATCAGCTGAGATAAACAGGTGAATTATTTATTAGCTTTTAGGAAAAGAAGAATTTTATCTGACAAGTTCAGAATCACAAATCACAGCGGTGTAAAAGATTGTAAGTGGAGCTTTCTGTGGACAGATGACCCACTCTGTCCTGACAGTGTGTGTGCTCTGTAGTTTGAGCTGCGTGGAGGTGGAGGAGTGTTTAATTTAAAGTGTTGCTGGTGCAGCGTCACTGTCTTCTGGTCTCTTGTAGGTTTCCACAGTGTAATATCTCCGGGATGATCGCTCGGTGTCAGTGACACGTTCACACACTCATTGTTTACTATTTATTTCCCCTGATGTTGTTCTATGTGCTACAGCAAAGGGCCAAATAACAAACAATTTCCTTCTTGATTTTAATTATGAATGAACTGGGTGATGCTGTGTTTATGGTCCATGTTTGATAATGCTCTGTATATACCTTATGATGTTTTGTCTTAGTGATATCTAATTAAACACGGTATCTAACGGAGGTGACATCTTCATGTTTATTTTCTGTTTCATGAGTCATCAGTAAAATAGAACATTTGCAGCTAAAAATTCAACTGTGTGTGCATCAGCATTCAGTTCTAACGCTTCAATTTCACTTCTCGTCAACGCTGAGACACAAGACTCGAGTGCAGAGTCACAGAACTACGACAGGAAGTGACACATCGGTGGCTTCCTCTGGATCTGGACATGTTGCCATGTCATCATTCCCAGTTTAATCACAGTGTCTGACAGGATGATGTCAGAGCGGCTGCCGCAGGATAATGACACTAAACATCAAAGTAAATCTACTACAGAATTCAAACTAAGACCGTGTTGGAGTCGGAGCCCAGTCAGACGTTGTGTAGGTCTGATCAGCTGCTGCTCAAAGACAACAGGAGAATGTGGAGGCATCATTGAGAGCAGGTCACGTCCTGTTGTTGTGTGTGGGTAGACCACAGCAGCAGTTCCTCCTCAACCCACAGAAAGTTGACTTGAAGTTACTTTCAGAGAATCAGCCTCTTCAAGCTGACGTCTCACTTCTTCCTGTTTTGCTTTTCTCAGCCTGGGTTAGATTCTTCTCCAGACACCTGATGCAACGTGGACGAAAACCTGATGTAACCCTCGACTGCCGTTTGAAATTTTTCAGGAGATTGTGTCAGTTTTCCTACGGTGGCCCTGAGGTACACGCAAAACTTAATTACGTCAACAAGAACCGTTTGTTAACCACCACAACAAGTTTGTCAGAGGAACAAAAGAACTTAATGTATTTTGCCGGCGTTGTCATTCACATTGAGATGTTTGAAAGTGGGTTTATATTTGGCCGAACGCTGCGTGTGAACAACTTGTTACAAGCTGCTGAAGTAGCAACAGTTTCCCGACATTTTCTATCTTTCTATCAATCTGCGACAAAAGCTCGAACAGTTTCAGTCGGAGCTTCTTCAGAGGAAGTTCAGTGTCTCTGAATTTCCCTCCTGAACAATTAACATAATCCAGATGAATGAGGCGCTTCACATCCTGAGGGGAAAACCCTTTTATGGACCCGAGTGTTACTGTAACAGTGGATGTAAAAATGATTTCTGGTATTCATTTAAGCGTCAGGGTTTTAGCTGCTGCTGAACTGTGATACAATGTGGTTATTTATGGAGGACAAGGACAAAGTGAAGGGTTGATTTGAGGGAAAAATCCAGTTTGTGCATAAAATGATTATAATCTCACCTTTGATACACTACCGACTTGACACTGACCTGCAGAAGTATTTTATAACTTCACCTGGTCAACATTTAACCAGACACAGAGTTCAATAACTCAACATAAACACGGAGTGGGATCAGAGGTCAGAGATGTATGTGCGACGGCAGTTTGGAGCTTTAATTATCATCATAAACGTCACCAGCTGATAACAGCAGTGGGTCACTCTGTTCCCACTCTGAGGTTAAAGTCACAGTTTACTGCAAAACACAAGAGCATGTCCCCCCTTCACTGCTGTGGTAAACTATCACAACTCACCTCAGTTGAACTCGTCTTTATGGGGCAGAGTCGTGTCCTGGAATAACCTCGGGTCATGATAACATGTCTGAAGTCACACAGAGATCAGCCCTTCAAAATAAGACGAGCTGAGTTTATTGGGTTGACTAAAGTAAAGCGGTAATACATCAATTCAAGTTCAGAAAGGCTGCTACATCACTGAGAGAAGTTTATTTAATCAGTTAAAGTCAGGTGTAACTGCCCCGTCTGTAACTGGCATAATTAAGAGAAGTTTGTGTTTTTTCTTGCGGATCGTCAAACTGCTAGTAATCTATGCTGCAGCAACATCGCTCGGTCTGTAAAACTGAAAACCAAAACTATTCTACTTATTAAAACACAAGACCAAGAAAAGCAGCAAATTCTCACGTTTGAGAAGCTGGAACCATCAAATGTTTCTGCTTGAAAAATATTTGGCATATTTGCTGGATGTTTTTGGTTTGGACGAGGAAATGTGTAACTGCACATTGTCTTATTGTGGATATTTGTATCTTCTACAGGAAAATGACTGAAGCAGATTGAAGTGTATGAAAAGAAAAACATCACCTTTAGACTGAAATTACAGACAAAAAATAAAAAAGGAAGCATATGAAAGCTATTATTACTCCGTCCACTTTATTTATTCACCTTTCTTGAGACCGTTTTATTGCACTACATTTGAGTTAATTTCTGCCAACTGCTATGTGCCAATAAAACATGAACAGACTTCACATCTTCAGTTCTGTGATGTAACTACACAAACTCCGTCTGCAGCGTAAAAACCTCCAGCTGTGTTTCATCAACACGTACAGCTGCTGTATAAGCATCGAGCCTGGACTTTGAAATAGTACAAAGTTTGAATATTAAATAACTGCTGATTGAAGCCTGTACTGTCCGTGTCCAGCGCCTGATAGAAACAATTCATCCAAGTTATTTCTGTAGAGACGGTTTCTTTTGGGGGGAAAAAAATAGAAACAATCTGAAACATTGAAAACAGACGCTGGAAGCAGAACTAACTGCTTGTACAAAGTGTGCAGAAGCATGAGACCATGATGTGTGTGATCAGTTATTGTTTTATTGCAAACATACGTGATAGCAACTTCCTGCACATCTAATGCACCAGTTCTAACAAAGACTGGTCAATGAGAGGTTAGAATAAACATGATTGATTCACAGGAACAATAGAAACTTAAAGAGGTGATTAAGCAAAACACAAAAGGCTTGATGAGACTGAACTATTCTCTCACACACACACACACAAAATCACGTTACTGTGATACAGGTTTCCCCCTTTTTAAAAGCTGAACCTCGTCTGACTGGAGAGGAGAGCCGAGGGGTCGGTCACAGAGGCCAGACTCTCCCGCTGCCTCCTCTCCCTCCTCTGCTGCGCCGGACCTGCGTCACTCCTCAGCCGGGGTGGCCATCTTGACGAGGCTGTCCTTGTCGAACCGGAACAGCCTCCAGCCCTCCTCCTGGGAGAGGTCCTCAGCACCGCGACGCTTGTAGAACTGGACGGACGGCTCGTTGTTCTCCGCCACCACAAACATCATGCCGGTGCAGCGCGTCTTCATCGCCAGCTGGAGTTAAAGGGACAGACCACGGATCAGACGAGACGCTGATATAATATTTAAATACTGTGCTGAGAGCTTTGGTTCAGTAAACACACTCACATCACTGAGGTGTCGCAGGATCTCCGAACCGATGCCCAGCCCTAAAAAAGAAAAAAGGAAAGAGCTTTTTAATAAAGAAGCTGCTGAGATATAATTAAACTTAGACTTGAGAAGCAGATGAGTTGTTTTTACCTCTGTACTCATCCATCACATAGAACTCCTCCAGGTAGAGCTGTTTGCCAACCCAGGGGTCATAAGTGAAGTAGTACATGGCAAAACCCACCACCTTCGGCTCTGAGGAGACAGGGAGGTTAAATAATGATGAAATAGTTCAATATCTTACTTTACACATCCAAATATACTGTACACAAACACCTCTGTATATAGTCTTTTTTTATACATTATATTTTCAGTACATTTATATGGCAGATGCCTTTGGCCAAAGTGACTTATAATGAGGGAGCATCCCTTTCAAACAAGGGGCTAAAAGCATGTTCAGTTCATTATGACCACCCCTGCTAAATATGCTGTCGGTTCTCTACATGCTGCCTCAGCAGATCCTGTTCTATGTTTGTTCCTCCTCGGATCACTGACAGGGAGCGATATGCTGTCGGTTCTCTACATGCTGCCTCTCAGCAGATCCTGTTCATGGTTTGTTCCTCCTCGGATCACTGACAGGGAGCGCGGTCTGGCTCTCCTCAAATCTGCTCAGGTCTTTACACCTGCACGTTCCACCTACAGCCAACACATGGACTTCGAGAACCAACTGCTCACTTCACCTGGTAACGAATCCCAGACGTCGACATGCGCCGATGTTACGAGATACTCAACATTATTCACCTCAGACACTCAAGTCAGGGTTTCAGAGTTGCACCACTGGACTCATTACTGCTGCACATATACAGTGTCTCTGCACAGACATTTCAGCACATCTCATATACACCGTCTCAGGTATTTAATGCACATATTTACCTTTTGATTTCATTATTTTATGCATTTCCTTTAAAATAGTTCTTTATCCTTCCTCTTTGGCCTATTTCATGTCCTGCTGTGACACATGAATCGATAATCTCTGGGCTGAATTGTAGGTTAATATGTTCTGTGATCACAGGGAACTTCCTCTGAATTGTTCAAAAGATTGTTTAAGCTACAAAAAAAAAAAAAGTAAAGAATTACAGGTCTGGCACAACTTGTACTTCTGTGCCACATTTTGACAAGAACATCTTATTGTAAACAAGGTGACGTGAAGTAAACTAAGTTAAATTAGATATTTTGATGCACTTTGATCTATACACTTTAGATCTGTGTCAGCTTGTTGACAGAGAGGGAACACCTGCAGCCGAGCAGCGTCTCACTCTTTAACTAAAATGTGCAGCTACAGGCGTCAGATCAGATGAGATCTATAGTCACTGCACAAAAACAGGAAGCACACACTGTATGGCTGTTAGGTTCACACTGCTGGTCTGAGAACAGGGTGGAGGTTAACACCCTAATCGGTAAATTTGTGTGTGTCATGCTGGGACATGAACTGGGTTTGTTACTGGACACTGGTAGAGGAACTGCAGGTTAAGGCTGTGAGTTGAGCCAGAATAGAGAAGCAGGCTGGTTTCTTTTCTTCTTCTAAGAGGAAATGTAGTGTTTCGTACCGTCACTGCTGTTCTCTCCTTGGATTTCAGCGATGATACAATGGTAAAACGGGGTGTCACCGAATCCATCCTCAAGGAGTTCTGCAGGGAAAGAAAAACTTTAAGCACAAGGAGAAGAACACTGATTAATTAGTGTGTATATGAACAGATGGAGGTAACTTGAACACTCACCTTTTTCAGTCAGTGTCACCTGGTGCTCCATCTCTTCGTATTTTGCAAGCTCCTGCGACAAGAAAAAACAATATTCACGTTTAGAACTGAAATGACAAATCAGTTAATCAATTAGTCGATCAACACTATAACCCAACCCATACTGTCGAAATACAACCGATACTCAAATTTATAAAAGAAAAATTTAATTCAAAGATCCTTAAAATGACTTAAAGATTAAAAGTACTGAGCAGGAGATCTACTTTGACAATCAATTAATCATTAAAGTGATTTCTCAATCAAAAAGACCAAATATTCAATATAGTTTTATGCTCGTGTGTGAGGATCTGCTTCTTTTCCTTGTTCTTATCTCAGAGTTTCCTTAACTTGAGGGCCCAGACACCTTTAATCCAAAGGGTTAGTGTAGTATTTATGTAGAGAAAAAAGTTCTGCTACTCTAATTTCAATGCCCATCTTCCATGTTTTTTGTGAAGTATGTGTTTTTCCTTTTCGGTAATTATTCAAGATTTTGTAAATTAAGTTAAATACCTTCTAAGGGCTTATATGAAGGAGGTGAAATCAAGGTTTTTAAGGCTTTAAGATCTGCAGATACCTTATGTTGAATCTGGGAACTAGTGATGTGCAACATCTTACATTTTACAGACTAAACATTTAGTGAATTAAGCAAAATAATTATGAAAATGGTCATCGTAGCCATGTTATTTAAGTCAGGTCAGTGGTTACACGAAGTCTAATCACATTTCATCAGGGTAAACCCCTCAGAAGGACGGCATATCGACGACACACTGACCATATTTGGAAAACTGGCAGCCATAGCGGATGTGAGTCGGCTGGGTGTAAACAAAGGCCGCAGACACTGATCTCACACTCGGACATCCTCCGGACATTTTACACCTGCCACTTCGTCACTATGATCCGATGTAATCCGTCTTTTGAGGCCTCGTCTGACCTTTATCCGACAATGTCGTCGGAACTAGACGAAGCTAGCTAACAGTTAGCTTAGCTGGGCGAACTAAGCTCTACTCGAGCGGACCGTTATTTTGAATTCATGTGGAGTAGCATGTTATTTTGAAACCATATCTGGTCTGTGCTGGTCCTATATGCCTACCTTCACCAGTCGTAATATATCAGACACGTCCTTTGGTTCAGCCTTTCGTAATTTATACTCCATTTTCTTCTTTTACTCTTTTTTCCTTTCGTTAGAAGTCCTCGGTATGTGAAGTGAAAGATTAGATGTTTCTTCATTCGCTTCAGAGTGGCTTTTCCCCCACAGTCAGCCTCAGATCGGGACGCGTTTGTCGAGACAAGAACATCCAGTAAAAGTCACCCTCGGCTGGGTCGCTGCCGTTAAACAACTCCTGCCTTTGTTTACATCGCGATATTTATACCCGGCTCGCGCTGGAATGCGATTGGTCGGTTCAGAGAGGTCTCAGATTTCTGACGAATCAGCGGCACCTTGTGGTGGATTTTTAACCAATCAGAGGCAGCCGAATGATGACGTGGCGGGTCTGTTTTGATTCTGCTGTAAGGTCATAAGATCTTTGTTTTTGATGGCGAAGGCAGAAAGTTTGGGAAGTATTTCCTACTTTATGTAAAAGTAGCTACTCCACATTTTAAGTTACTCAGTTTAAAGTTAAGGTATTGTATATTTACTGGGCTCAAATAGTAAAGTATTAAATGTAAATTAGTAACAAGTAGATATAGTTTTTCAGTGGTCCCTTTAGTTTTAGAAGCTTCTAGTTAGTATAAGATACTAATACCACACTGCTTTAATGGATTAGCAAGTATTATTGAAGTTGGTTGAGGTGAAGCTGATTTGTGACTATTTTGTATAGGACTGGATAGGATGATCATTTTTATCATAGATTTATCTGATTGTTTGTTTTTTGATCAATTCATTGCTTGGTCCATATAGTGCCAAATGCCATCACAAATACTCAGAGTCCAAACTGACATATCTTAAGTGACATAAATTAAAATAAATAAAAAGAAAAGCAGCAAATTTGAGAAGCTGGAACTGACTGCAAGGACAACAAAGACTTCTCCATACACTTTAATGTGTGTTGAACCCTAACAGTGCATACGTAGTTTAATACACACCCCATAATAGCACCAAAAGTGGAATTTTCCAACTCTCACACACAGAAAGGTTAGATGAGTTTAGGCTATGTCAGTGTAACAACACTAGTATGCAATGGTGGAAAAAGTATTCAGATCCTACACTTAAAGGGATACTCTGGCACTTTACTCAAGTCAGGAAACTTGTGTGAGACAGATTTAAAAAAAAGAATGGTCAAAATTGATGTAGCAGAGCTGGAGATATCCTGAGTTTCGATCCCTAGTGTGGGTCAAGGTCCAAAAACTCTGGATTGTGCATTTCCCCTAAAGCAAACAACATTTCTCCCCAATGAATGCACACACCTTTCCACGCCTCCAGTTTGTAATGCAGGCTTTCTATGATGAACTTGCAGTTGAAGTCCTACTAACTACCACAGAAGCATGTGTTTACTTGTTAATGCAGGTATTTGTACAGATGTGACAGTGGATGTAGTGGAAGGGGGGGAGGGAGGCCAGTGAGGCTGAACATATGTGGGACCCAGATTTTTGTGCTACACCACAACAACAGCAACAGCTAACAGAATAAAGTGTGTGACCATGATGTGAATATTTGCAGTAGCACTGGAACTGAAAGTGTTAAACATAAAATCTCACTGGACACTGAGGCAGTCATAAAATATGACGTCACAGTTTAAAATACCAACATTAAATATAATATCCAATAATACAATGTATTACTAATGATATAACAATCCGAAATGACTGATAAGATAAGACACAGCCCAAACTCTCCAGAAGGTCTTATCAGTTCACCTTTACACGCAGGGAGAAGTGCCTGACAGGCTGTACTCAGGGTCTAAAGACCCACTGCTCTCGAACGGAACGTCTTACGTCATTAAGAGGTGGGCGTGGCCTGAAAGGCAATACGGAAACCTCCTGTCCAGCTTTTTTTTGACCGCCTGGCACGACACCACTCTGAGGAGGGAAAACCTGTTGCTTTCCCCCTTTTAACCCGCTCACCTGATTTATTTGGACACCCGAAGCTGTAACTCTGTCACCCCGGACTCTACGATGCTCTCCCCGAGGTCAGTGCCGGTAAAAACGTGGTCAAAGTCATCGCTAACTGTTAGCATGCTTACAATGCAGCTAAATAACGCCAGAAACAGTAAACAGCCTCATAAGGTAGATGTGTCGGTGATTCTTTACCTTCAGTGGTGTTTAATGACTCATATGCTGCATGAATGAAGAAATCAGCCTCACCTGGAAACAGTCAGCCAGGCCCAAACAGGGTGGGGATCCATTGTATACACAGAGGGTGTTGCCATGTTCATACCACTGCTACAAAAAGTACTAGAAATACTTATTAATGCTAAGATTAAGATTAGCATTAAAGATTATATGAGGATTTTATAAAATATGTTATTCTTCATTGTTAAAAGTACCAACATTAACTAATAATATCCAATAATACAATGTATTGTTAATGATTTAACAATCTGAAATGACTGTTTTTGCATAATGATTAATTTTGCTTTTAAATCTTTAAGATAAAATAAGATTTACATTTTGTTGGTAAAACTGAATCCTGAAGCTTTTGTTATTTTATATAGATGTTATATATATAATATGCATGTGAAGTCTTATTGTACAGTGTGACTTGTAGGTGCAGCTCTGACATGAATGCACTCGAGTAAAAAGTAAAGTATCTGAAATTCAGTAAGGATAAAAGTTTCAAGTGACAAGTAAAACAAAGTATTGTAATGAGTATGAGTAGTGGGTAAAAGCTACAGCTATGAGGTAATGTCACTATATTATATAAAACTGTCTGTACTGACTCTGCTCCGTCACTTTCCTCCTGTGTTAATAATGGAACAAGTTGGAGCAGATGCTTTACAAACAAAGCTGCTGAAGAGAGATGAAGTGTCTGACAACACCATGGCAGCCAGCAGTGTGTGTGTGTGTCTGTGTGTGTGTCTGTGTGTGTGTGTCTGTCTGTCTGTGTGTGTGTCTGTGTGTGTGTGTCTGTGTGTGTGTGTGTGTGTGTGTGTCTGTCTGTGTGTGTTTGCTCAGCTGTTCATTCACTGTGGATTACAGACAGAACAGATGCTTTAAACCGCTATAATTAGAAGAGGAGGATGTTTCTGTGCTTCTTGATCTTAAGGTTATTTTGGGATTTTTTTTGTCATGTCCTCATGTGCGCTGCAGGTTCCTGCTGCTCCGGTCGGCTGCGTCCTTGACGACCAGGTCGCTCTGCGCTGGTGGGGTGTCGAAGCAAGGCAGGGCGCCGGACATGGCTGACGGTAAGATTGAAACGATTCATCCTGACTTTTGAAATGACCTGCAGAGAAATACCTGTACAGAAACAAAATCTTTGCCTGTCGCCAGCGAAAAAGCTAAAAGAAGAAATGAGTGTGAAGCTGATCCTTCAGGGAAATGACTCGATACTGTTCAGAAATGTGTTTTAGATTTAAATGAAACAAGACACCAAACAAGTAACTTAACTGTTTAAATATAGAATAACTGGAAATGAGACTTTATACACTGTACATGTCTGAACTCCTCATGACTTGTGCCTGTTTGTTCTGTGATGTTTTGTTTTTGTAGAACTGGTGTATGTTGTCGTTTCCAGATCTGAAAACCTGTGTAGAATAAAGAAGAAAAACATGTTAATCCCAAATTAATCAATTGCAAATGAGCAGCTTTATTGATTAGTCATTGGTTGGTTATAATTCTGACATAATCACTTGCTGGATTTTGAGTGTTATTGTAACAAACATATGTGGTGATTTAAGTGAAATTGTGACATATTTAATGTCTTTGTGAATAAATCCCAAATCAGTTGTTCCTCACATGCACCCAGACTCATCCTCTGACCTTTCACCTTACAGATGATTTAATCATGTTTGTTTCTCCACAGGAAATCCACTCTTACACGTGTCAAATGGTGTGTGTTGGTAAAACCCAGACAAATCCTAACTACCTAGTAATTCTTTTCTAATTTGCTCTAGTTGCTCGTTAACTCTCCTTTTGCATGTTTCCCCCACCGACTTGTCATCCACTCTTTTACCTGAAGGGCACCTTGTTTCACACGCAGCTTCTTTTTTTCCTATGCACCCGTTCTGCTTCTCTGTAGGTCTGGATCTAATTCTCACTCCGGCTGGATCTCTGTTCCTGCTCCACAGTAGAGCTAAACCCTCCCTGCAGCATTCGTAGGTGGCGTGTGTTAACTTCATCTCTTCCTCCGTCTGTGCCAATGAGCTTCAGTGTTTTGTTACAGCTGGTTACCATGTGATGGCCGTCTCCGTCCGACTGCTTCTCTTCTCTCTGTTGTTTTATGTCCGCTCACCGTTTGGGCCTCGATGTGCTGCAGCCTCCAGACAAACAGACAGAAGGTTTCACAGTTGAAGCTGTTTCCAGATCAGTGCACTAATTTAAGTGTGTGTGTGTGTGTGTGTGTGTGTGTGTGTGTGTGTGTGTGTGTGTGTGTGTGTGTGTGTGTGTGTGTTGTGTGTGGCACTGCTGCACATAATCACAGCCCCAAACAGTATTTAGTGCCTGTGCCGCAAAATGCAAACAGTTTGTGTCTGAAGGCTGCAGCCGTGAACAGTCTCAGTGTTTGTCATGCGACTTCTGACTTCTGGAAGTTGTGGTGCTTTCACTGCACGACCGTCACACAGAGAAAACACACACATACACACAAGTACTGACTGAGTCTTCTGTGTTTTTCAGTGCGGAACAGACTGAGAGAAATCGTAGGAGCTTCCACCAACTGGAGGTACTGAACCAAAAAACAGCTGTTGTGTTTCGTCTGGTCTCATATTGTCATCACACTCAGTCTCCAGTCAAAACTCTGATTGGCTTTAGTTTTTATTGTTATTTCTATTTCTCTGTCTTTTTTCATGCATATGTTTGTGTGCGTTTGTTTTCTTGTTTGTCGTATCCCTTGTTCATATTCAGTTTACACATTCATTTGTTGTATTATTGCGGTGCTGGATGTAAAGTTGTGTGGCAAATAATACAAATTATACATCACAAACAAAATAATTCTAACAGGATTATGAATCTGAGCAGAAAGTATTTACACATGTCAGTAAGTGACCGGCTGCAGTTCTTGGTGTTATTGACATATTTTACATCTGTGAGAATTTGTGGGTATTTTTTAGAGACTTACTCATTTTATTTCAGTAATTAAATCCATATTTAAAATCAAAAAGTGGAACTTTACACAACTTGCACATTGTATATTTGCACTTGTGACATATGAACATTTTTCTTTTGTAGATATTTATAACTGTTAAT